GGGGGGGGGGGGAGCTGCTTTTCCCAGCAGCCCTGGCAGCTCCACCTTGCACCTCTACAGGTGTGGACAGTAGATATGACTGTCTCTCTCTTTCCTTAGCAGGAGACTGTGGCTCAGTCTGGGCCTCAGGTGTCCACCCTCTAGTGGGCCCCATCTTCTCCAATGGTTGGGTATGGGATCAGGCTTTGATGTCCCTACCCTGTCCTGGAGGCCACCATATCTACTTGTTCCCTGGGAGAGGAACAAGGGGCTGAGCCATGAGCCCACCCTGAGCTCCTTGCCCCTCTTGTGGTGGAAGGGTGGCAGTCTCTTGCCCTGTGTGGATGGAAAGGAGGTCAGATTTGCTCTTGTTGAAATGAGGGGAGACGGGGTTTCTGCCAGAGTTTGTAGGGGGCCAGTTCTCTGCCCATCTCTGCTGGCCTGGAAGCTCGGGGCTTGGGCAGACAGACTGCTTAGGGTGCCCAGGCCCAGCCCATTCCCCCTCCCTGTGCCTTCTTGCTGGCGGTGCTGAGGCGGGAGCACTGCTTCACTGCCTGCAGAGACGAAAGCGCTGTGTGAATGGGTGACAGGATGGACCCTTCAAGTAGCTGGCCAGCCAGAATAGAGAGCAACAGGCATCCAGACGGGGTAACTGGAACTACCCACTTCCCACTCCCCACATGCCCTCAGCTGGCCTCTTGGGCCCCTGGAATCGCCCTCTGGTTTGCTAGGCCAGGGGTTCTAAGCTGCTGCCACGTAAAACCAAGTCAAAGGCATGGGGGACATCAGAGAGGGCTGGGTGAGGCCTGGGGTTCACCCTCTCCCCAGGTCTCCCCTGACCACCCCCTCTGCCATTGGCCAGCTGGCCTCAGCAGCTCTGACCAGAATTTTCTTTGCTGAATAAAGATGGACACGCATTCTCCTTTGACCCACATGGTCAGCTTGACAGCCCAGCTCATAAGGAGGAGGAGTGGAAAGGAATTCCTTGGGGGGGGGGGGCTGAAGGATTGAGAACCACTGGCCCATGAATGCTCAGTTCTCATCCCAGTCCCCAGCTGAAGCCCTTCCCACCTGCACTCAAGTGGAACTTTCCAGCTGGACTTTCCTCCCTCTTTCAGTTTTTCTACAGCTTTCCATCCTATTTCAGGCTACACCTCCTCAGGAAGCCCTCCCTTAGCCCACAGAACATGTTCATATTCTCCTCTGGGGTCCCAGGGGACCATGGTCAGTACCACTTGGTAGGCAATCGTACAGTGGTCACTGCTGTGTCCCCCAACTGGAGGCTGGGCTTGAACAACAGGACCAGGGGTTATTGCTTTCCTCAGCAGCCCTGCCAACCCACCAGTCCTAGAAAGACCTTTAGGAAATGACTAGGAGACAGAGCAACCCACATCACAGCCACCACCCTAAAGATGGCGGTTGCTGACAGCAGCCCAGCTGCACACGACCCATCTTCCCTAGTCACCTCCCTCTGACCTGTAATTCCAGACCACACCAGAGGACAGAGTCCAGGATGCTGAGGCTCTGCTCTCCAGAAGCAGCAGCNCTGACCTGTAATTCCAGACCACACCAGAGGACAGAGTCCAGGATGCTGAGCAGCAGGAAGGGCTTCTCACTGGCCTCTACCTACCTGGGTCAAAGCTCCAGGTCACAGGTGACAAGACAGTGATGTCTTCCCAAAGACATTTCCATGGGGCCCTGAGAAGCTGCACAGAGAGCTCTTCATCTCTGGGGATCAGATCTCCTTCCAAGCAGAGGAAGGAGGGAGGTAATGGCTGCTCCCATTTTACAGGTCAGAAGACTGAGGCCCTGAAGTAGAGGCCTTGTCTAGGGTACATATGCTGCTGACCAGGCAGAGCTGGCTTGGCTGCTGGACCCTCTTCTCTTGCCTGGGGCCCTCCCAGCTACCTGGTTCCACAGCCCCTCTTGGCTGGCCCTCAGAGCAGACAGCTGGGCCTGGGGATGGGCAGGGATTGCCTTGGGGAGGGTGCCTAGGGGGGGAGCAGGTGTGGTATGTGTGTGGGGGGGTAGCAGGTGCAGGATAATGGGGCCACCGGGGGAGGCCCAGGGAGCAGGTGCTGCTATGGAGGGGGTGAGGTTGTCATTGTATGCCCAGCTCTGGAGGGGAATCCCTGTGAGCCCCTGGGCCACCCTGGCTGATGCTCAGAGGTCTTCCAGATGCCTGGGCCCAGGCACACAGCCAAGCCCCTCCCCTGGTCCCAGCAACTGCCAGGTTGTCATGACAACCAGCACTTTCATCCCTGTCCTTTTGTCTGGTCACGGTCCAGCTTTTGTGGACCAGCCATAATTGGGGGTATGGAGAAGGGGGCCTTGCCTCAGGACACACTCAGCTGGGGTGGAGTTGTGAACTGCAGCAGAGGGGGCTGGAGGACAGGAGAAAGAAAACTGGAGACCAAAAGGGCTGGACTTTGCTGGCCACTGACCCCTGCAGCCTTCTGTCCTAGTGGCTGACCACACCCTCCGAGCAGGGTCTGTGGGCCTGGGAGTGGCCTGTGGCCTAGGCCTTCCTGTCCCCCTTCTGAACCTCATTT